CCCCAGTCAGTACTCACCTCTCTGTAGCCGGAAGTGGAGGATGAAGCTGTAACCAAGGTAACGGTCTGACAGGAAATGACGCTGACGTGCTGACACCCGGCAACCAATCAGAGGAGAGCAATGGCGGCCCAGGCTGTAGGTTAGAGGAAGGACCGGTTACTATGGAGACAGCAGGATTTCTAGGGGCGGAGTCAGTGCTGTATAGGCCGTGCAGGTGAGTGGGCGGGGTCTGTGGGCGGAGTTATTAGATAGACAGCGTGCCGCTGATTGGACAGTGTGTGTGTGTGTGTCTGTCTGTATGTCTGTATTTCAGTCTGTCAGTGTGTGTGTGTCAGTCTGTCAGTGTGTGTGTCTGTATTTCAGTCTGTCTGTGTCTGTCTGTCTGTCTGTCTGTATTTCAGTCTGTGTGTGTGTGTGTATTTCAGTATTTCAGTCTGTGTCTGTGTGTGTGTGTGTCTGTCTGTGTGTGTGTGTGTCTGTATTTCAGTCTGTCAGTGTGTGTGTGTGTGTGTTTCTGTCTGTCTGTGTGTGTCTGTCTGTATTTCAGTATGTCTGTATGTCTGTGTGTGTGTGTGTGTGTGTATTTCTACTCCGTCTAGGAGAACTTCCTGTCAGACCAGGTAGAGCAGAGGAGCCGACACTATTTATATGATCAGCTCAACAAAATCTACCAACTAAAAAACCCACCCATTTTCTTACATACATTAATATTCCTATTGCGACTACTGCATGTATCGTTGTATTGAATTTATCTAAAAAAATTAACAAAAACCCTGTCACCGCCTTCTAAAAGCCCTGCCCAGCTCCTTACAGTAGTATTGTTAAAAGAAAAAAACCAGTCCAAGCAGACACTCCACTAACAATTAGCTCTACCACCACCGTACCCACTGGAAACATGAAGGAAGGCGGCTCTTTTCACCCATCTTACCCATCCTTTGCCCGTTTGTGCATCTTGCCGTCTTCCTTTTTGAATATTGTACCCCGTTTGTCATTCTTTTCATGCTTTTGCATATTTATCCCACCTTTTGTGGCCTCTTAACCCCCTTATGCCTTTTATCCCCCTTCCTCCTTCTCTTCTACCACCTTTGGTCCCTCCGCCTCTGATTTTCCTACTCCTCTGTAGTGTGTGTGTGTGTGTGTGTGTGTGTGTGTGTGTGTGTGTGTAAAAATCAATCTATAGGATTTGGAACACACTCAAATACTGGCTTTAACACTCACATACTGGCTCTTACACACACATTCTCACATGCTGGCTCTTACGCACGCAACACACATGCTGGCTCTTACACACATGCACACTCACATACTGGCTCTTACACACTCACATACTGGCTCTTACACACATGCACACATTCTCACATGCTGGCTCTTACACACGCACACATTCTCATGCTGGCTCTTGCATACACTCACATACTGGCTCTTACACGCACACACTCACATGCTGGCTCTTACACACGCACACACTCACATACTGGCTCTTACACGCACACACTCACATGCTGGCTCTTACACACGCACACACTCACATGCTGGCTCTTACACATGCACACACTCACATACTGGCTCTTACACGCACACACTCACATACTGGCTCTTACACGCACACACTCACATGCTGGCTCTTACACTGTGACGGTAGTAGTCAATATCACCATCTAGTTTTTCTTTTCCCAATAGCAGAGTAATCCCAATAATCCACGAGAAGAAATATCGCTGTAATCGCCAAATAATCCACACATGAGCCAAGGCTTAATGCTGGAACAAGTCTGATTTACTGGCACACAGAACTCCTCCTCTGGGCCAGGCTAGATAATTGAGTTTCTACAATACACAAAACTCAATTATCTGCTGGCCAGAAACATTCCAATTTTCAACAATTTCAGAAAAGTACTTTTTATATTACATACAAACATAACATCCCTGGGTAGCTGATGGTCTGGGAAGCAACATACTTAAATTTCACGAAAATCCATTCAGTAGTTTTCGTGTTGCGTCGTGTGGAAGTTTGACCGGCTCCCTGCATGCTGGTATCCGATTTGGAGTTCCATGAAATTGGGGCTAAGAGCCGGTCTCCGTTCGCATCAATTTACATGAAAACTACCAGGGTTAAGATATAGAGAGTTTGTGGAAAGTGTTCCCCTCACTCGGTAGATTGAATTTCCCGAACGCCGTTCGTGTCAAGTTTGTGGAAATAAGTCAGGCGGGACTTTCCTGGGGGACCGGGTCATGCTGGAGGGCTATGCCGAAAATAGTTCCAGGCGGTCGATGCCTAAGTCCCGCTGACTGGCCGTTCGGGAGTTTAAGATGGCCGCCATCCATTGTTCTTCGCCATGTGTTCGGCTCCCGAAATGGCGGCCACCCGGGAACTCTCAATTAACTTGCGGTTACGCACGATTCTATGTTCTAATTGCTACCCAGGGTGGTCCTTGTTCGGTAAAATAGCTATCTTACCGAACAAGGGATTTGAACGTACAGAAGATAGCGAATGCACCAGTAATACAGGTAATAAATCTCACGAATACAACAGCAGGGAGGGAAATAGTCAAAACAAATTGAGGGTGATTCTTCACATACACACGCACACACTCACATGCTGGCTCTTACACACGCACACACTCACATGCTGGCTCTAACACACGCACACACTCACATGCTGGCTCTTACACACGCACACACTCACATGCTGGCTCTAACACACGCATACACTCACATGTTGGCTCTTACACACAAACACACGCACACACTCATACTGGCTCTTACACGCACACACTCACATGCTGGCTCTTACACGCACACACTCACATACTGGCTCTTACACACGCACACACTCCCATGCTGGCTCTTACACACGCACACACTCACATACTGGCTCTTACACGCACACACTCACATACTGGCTCTAACACACGCACACACTCATACTGGCTCTAACACACGCACACACTCATACTGGCTCTTACACACGCACACACTCACATACTGGCTCTTACACACGCACACACACACATACACTCACATGCTGGCTCTTACACACGCACACACTCACATGCTCACATACTGGCTCTTGCACACACTAACTCACATGCTGGCTCTTACACATGCACACACTCACATACTGGCTCTTACACACGCACAAACTCACATGCTGGCTCTTGCACATGCACACACTCACATACTGGCTCTTACACACACACACACTCACATGCTGGCTCTTACACACGCACAAACTCACATGCTGGCTCTTACACACGCACACACTCACATACTGGCTCTAACACACGCACACACTCATACTGGCTCTTACACACACACACACACATGCTGGCTCTTACACACGCACACACTCACATGCTCACATACTGGCTCTTACACATGCACACACTCACATACTGGCTCTTACACACGCACACCCACATACTGGCTCTTACACACGCACACACTCACATTCTGGCTCTTACACACGCACACTCACATTCTGGCTCTTACACACGCACTCATGCTGGGTGCTCATATATACACTTACTGTTTCTTATGATTGCTCCACACAAGTCCCACCAGGTGGTGCTGCCCTTCTCTGGCTCACAGCACTCGGCCGCCGAGATATGTCATATATCCCAACAGCCTTCAGCTGTCAAAGAGATGCCACAGCCGCTCATCGCAGCTTCATTCCCCTCTGATGCTTGTTAAATAACGTTTTGTGAAATTAATATAAATGTTGGGACAGACAGGATATGAATGTGACAGTTATTGAGTCAGACCGTGTATAAAATCATTATTATTATTGTATTATAGTGTTTGAATGGTACAGTTATTGGGTCAGACGGTGTATGAATGCGACAGTTATTGGGTCAGACAGTGTATGAATGTGACAGTTATTGGGTCAGACGGTGTTTAAATGTTACAGTTCTTGAGTCACACGGTGTTTGAATGTGACAGTTCTTGAGTCTGACGGTGTATGAGTGACAGTTATTGGGTCAGACAGTGTATGAATGTGACAGTTATTGGGCCAGACGGTGTTTGAATGTGACAGTTCTTGAGTCTGACGGTGTATGACTGTGACAGTTATTGGGTCAGACGGTGTTTGAATGTGACAGTTCTTGAGTCTGACGGTGTATGACTGTGACAGTTATTGAGTCAGACAGTGTATGAATATGGCAGTTATTGAGTCAGACAGTGTATGAATGTGACAGTTATTGAGTCAAACGGTGTAGGAATGTGACAGTTATTGGGTCTGATGGTGTATGACTGTGATAGTTATTGGGTCAGACTGTGTATGAATATGGCAGTTATTGGGTCAGACAGTGTATGAATGTGACAGTTATTGAGTCAGACGGTGTATGAATGTGACAGTTATTGGGTCGTACGGTGTATGAATGTGACAGTTATTGGGTCAGACAGTGTATGAATGTGACAGTTATTTGGTCTGATGGTGTATGACTGTGATAGTTATTGGGTCAGACTGTGTATGAATGTGACAGTTATTGGATCAGACGGTGTATGAATGTGAGTTTTTAGGTCGGACAGTGTATGAATGGTACAGTTATTGGGTCAGACGGTGTTTGAATGTGACAGTTCTTGGGTCTGACGGTGTATGAATGTGACAGTTATTGGGTCTGACGGTGTAAGAATGTGACAGTTATTGGGTCTGACGGTGTACGAATGTAACAGTTATTGAGTCACAGTGTACGAATGTGACAGTTATTGGGTCAGACGGTGTATGAATGTGACAGTTATTGGGTCACACAGTGTATGAATGTGACAGTTATTGGGTCAGACAGTGTTTGAATGTGACAGTTATTGGGCCAGACAGTGTATGAATGTGACAGTTATTGAGTCAAACGGTGTAGGAATGTGACAGTTATTGGGTCTGATGGTGTATGACTGTGATAGTTATTGGGTCAGACTGTGTATGAATATGGCAGTTATTGGGTCAGACAGTGTATGAATGTGACAGTTATTGGGTCGTACGGTGTATGAATGTGACAGTTATTGGGTCGTACGGTGTATGAATGTGACAGTTATTGGGTCAGACAGTGTATGAATGTGACAGTTATTTGGTCTGATGGTGTATGACTGTGATAGTTATTGGGTCAGACGGTGTATGAATGTGACAGTTATTGGATCAGACGGTGTATGAATGTGAGTTTTTAGGTCGGACAGTGTATGAATGGTACAGTTATTGGGTCTGACGGTGTATGAATGTGACAGTTATTGGGTCTGACGGTGTAAGAATGTGACAGTTATTGGGTCAGACGGTGTATGAATGTGACAGTTATTGGGTCAGACAGTGTTTGAATGTGACAGTTATTGGGTCAGACGGTGTATGAATGTGACAGTTATTGGGCCAGACAGTATATGAATGTGACAGTTATTGGGTCAGATGGTGTATGAATGTGACAGTTATTGGGTCAGACAGTGTATGAATGTGACTGTTATTGGGTCAGATGGTGTATGAATGTGACAGTTATTGGGTCAGACGGTGTATGAATGTGACAGTTATTGGGTCAGACAGTGTTTGAATGTGACAGTTATTGGGTCAGACAGTGTTTGAATGTGACAGTTATTGGGTCAGACGGTGTATGAATGTGACAGTTATTGGCAGGCTTTGGGGACAAAGGGAACAGAGTCCCTCTTTCCGCGCTGGGACCTCGGGAAGGATTGTGGGATGTATCATCGTGTGTGTGATCCACCACTTGCAAGGGGTTATGCATATAAGCTGTGTGTGGCCAATAAAACTGTGTTGTACCTCCAGGGCTGTGTGTCGTTCAGTTACTGGTAGGAAATGGGTGTATTGTCCATGGTTCCTGACCGGCTGAAGAAAGGGAATTAGCAGAGCTTACCAGTCGGGTTACCCTGGGTCCGCTACATTCATGCATGACAATACCTTACTTGTCTTTGCCACTGCTGATTAACAATGCACATTGTTGCATAGTTTGTTGTCTATGACAATTCCAAATCCTTTTCGTGTGTTGTTATCCCTAATTCGCTTCCATTAAGGGTATACGTTGCTTGTGCATTCTTGGCGCCGAAGTGCATAACTTTGCGTTTTTATACATTAAATTTCATCTGTCATTTGAGTGCCCAGTCCTAAATCCCTCTGCAGCAAAGTAATATCTTGCTCACATTGTATTACTTTACAAAGATTTGTGTCTTTCAATGCTTTTTTTAAAGGATCATTTATAAACATGTTGAATAGAAGGGGTCCCAGAACAGACCCCTGAGGGACTCCACTTGCCACCTCTGTCCAGCTTGAAAATTTACCATTAATGACAACTCTTTGTACTCACTTTTTAAGCCAATGTTCTACCCAAGAACAAGAATTTCCATCTTGACCGATTTCCTTGAGTTTGAACACTAATCTATTGTGTGGAACTGTATCAAATGCCTTGGCAAAATCCAAATAGATCACATCCACTGCACCAATCTGATCTATACTTCTACTTCTTCGTAGAACACAATCAAGTTAGTTTGACATCACCTGTCCTTAATAAAACCGTGCTGATTTCGATGATAACCATGTACGTATCAAGGAATTCTTGAATATTATCCCTTAATAACCTTTCAAATACTTTTCCAGCCACAGAAGTTAAGCTCACAGGTCTATAATTTCCAGGCAAGAATTTTAAACCCTTTTTGAATATTGGAACCACATCTGCCTTCCTCCAATCCTCCGGAACACTTCCTGAAAGAAAAGAATCTTGAAAGATTAAAAACAGAGGTTCACTTATTTCTACACTTAGTTCCTTAATTACTCGTGGATTAATACCATCAGGCCCTGGAGCTTTCTTTATATTAACTTTCTTTAGTTGCTGCAGCACCTTGTCTTGAGTTAGCCAATTACAATTCTTCTGCAAGTTTTGTGCAACAATCATTTGCACATCTATTGCCATGGGTTCTTCCTTAATATATACGGAGGAGAAAGTTATTTTAAAGTTCTGCCTTTTCCTGGTCTTCTTTAACTAACACCCCCATCCCAGTTTTTAGCGCGCCTACACTTTAAATTTTTGGTTTTCAAGGTCGAACTAATTTTGTAGTTACCTACTCTCCTGATAGTGGATTGGTGCTGATGCTATGAAGGGCACACCTCTCCAATCTCTTTCTCTCCCAGTGATTGGCTGATTGGTTCTCATTGCTGGCAGGTAGAGGCACCATATATACCTGGGTTCTGTTATGAGCCCTGGCTGTGGTCTCTGTGGCGGATGCTGCAAAAATGTAACAAGCCGACTTGTGGTAATGGTGGCATTCTATGACAGTGCCATGTTTAAAGCCATCGAGATCATCATGACAACCCATTATACTGCCTAAAACATAAAGAACAGCTTTGAATACACAGCACACTATGAAATACCCCCAGATTTGTCAAGGTCCGCACACCACACAAAACGTTTCCACCTGGCGATAGGTAATTTTTCCTGATATGTTCTGTGTGCATGCAGTGTTTTTCTGTGGAGATTTTATGTCTCTCTGCTGAATTTTATCCGCCTGTCAGTCAGTGATGCAGAAACTCCTGGTCTCAGTAATTAATAAACCGGCATCCATCAATCTATACGTTATCTACAGCTCTCTCGTGGTCGGTCTATCCCAGAGAGTGGCGCTCTGTCCAAGATAGAAACACCAACTGCCCACTGCTTCTCCCAGCCATCTCACAATAAAAATCTATTTTATATACAATAAAAAAAATACAATTATATATACGCAGAGTAAAGACAACAGAAAATCAGCTGTTTAACAAAATCAGATTAAAACAAAAAAATGTTTTCCATAGTCATCTAATTTAATTAAAAAGTTAAATTGACAACACTAGCCACATTTAAAATAAAGAACAAACACCACAGCAAATGCACAAGATTAACTTAGCATGTAAATAAAATTCACCTCAATGTCACAATAACATGCACGGAAAACCCAGATATATATTCTTACATTGAAAAAGGTAGAAAAATGGCTTCTGGAAATCAGATGGAAAATAAAACAAAAACAGTCTGTTTAATCCAGAATCCCCAGATATTAAAATTGTTGGCAAATTACAAAAATTATAACAACCTAGAAAATATTTTAGATTCTTGTTAGTGTACATTCGCTGTACCTCTCACACATAATGTGGAATATATTGATATATGAAATCGATTCGGCCGGCTGTGACGTTACATCGCTCAATCTGTTACTTTAGAAAACTTGCTAATAGCACCATGTTTGTTTTAGAAATGGGATAATAGAGGGATTCCATTCTGGGTTACTTACTAAACTGAGAAGTATGAGAACAGAGCAAGGAATGTGCAAACAATCGACCAAAACGGCCAAACTGGGACAATTCTCAGTCCATTGACACAGCTCAGCTATTTTACCTCCAATTACTTTGCCAGTTTTCAGTTTACACCACTATTGGCGATGTTTGCAGACCCGTCTTACTCACCTTAAACTTTCTACCTGTGAAATTGCCGGTATTAGTAAAGTATCGTACTGGGTAGACAGAGAAAGCCTGCTGGGCTCCACAATGATCCCTCATTACAAGTTCGGGCTATTATTAACATATACATAGAATAGGCTGTATTTTGCTAGTAGCCTGTGTTGGCGCTATTATATACAATATACGTACAGAGTCATCATTGTTCTGTCTTTTACCATTATTTCAGAGTTTGAGAAATTATCAGAGATCTTACCCTAATCCTATTATTGGGCAATAACCCTTATTCTAAATTATCAGCATTGTCAATGTTCTGAGTCTATAAACAAAGCTTAATATTACACCAAACAATATCGTGGCACAACACATTCCTCCTCCACCTTAGGACTGGTGGTGAAGTTTGCAGACAGCCCTAGTCTTTCTTATTGATAGCAGCATCATATCACACGATCTACGCTGAGAAGGATGTCTTGCCAAGTCCATCGATATGAAATAATAGGTCTGTTAGCGGTGATAGTATAGGGTAGAATATGGCAGCAGAAAGGATTAACAATAACAACACTTTGTTAAAGGAATTTGGGTTGCCTGTGACTGTAGCAATGTCTAACTATTTCTGCGGTAAGGTAGGTCAGTGTGTTGGGGGAATGGGTTAGGTGCCTGAGGTATACGTGTCGCTGCAGTGCCTACATTACCTATTAACAGAACACGGCTACAATTTGGCCATTAATCAGAGCCTGGCTGTAATGAACCAGTCTCCCTTTCTGCATCAATTAACAGCTAATTGTATTTTACAAGTAAGTTACAAATAGCGTAAGTTATTAAAGGGAATAAATATAGTGCCAGGAATACAAACTTGTTTACCTGGCACTATAGCTTTCCTCTGGTGCAGAGGGGGTTAATAACACCTTCTGTCACTTACCTGGGCCCAGCGCTGGCTCAACTCCATCCATGCTCCTCCCCCGACAACATGAACCAGTGCGGGAGACCTAATGCGCATGTGCGGCAATGGCCTAACTCTCATTAGGATCTCCCCACAGGAAAGCATTGGGATTCCGGAGACGCTGGAAGTCCTCATGCATAACGTAAGGATGTCCAGCAAAAGTCGTCTAAGCACCCGGAAATCCCTCTAGAGGAGGAGTTAGCCCTAGCAGGTAATTATTAGTTCATAAAAACTCCAATAATTACATGCTCAGGGTTAAGGGTGATGGGAGTTTGCACCCAGACCCCTTCAATGAGCTGAAATGGTCTGCCTACACTGTCCCTTTAAGAATAAATCATTAACCAAACATGGGAGGATTAGCTAGAGCAATAAATATAGGAGAGAAAGGAACAGAGCTCCAAACTAAATGTGGATTTTTATTAATACAGGGACAGAAAGAGGATTCCATGCTCTCTCGCTCTCACCAAGTATAGCACAAACCAACTCCTAGATATCACAATCCGACCCGTCTTCAGATTTATTTTAAAAAGAACAGTCAGTTTACTGGAATTTACATAAAAAACATTGCCTTATAACTTGTGTTAACCATTTCATGTAATATTCTGTTTTCACTTTAACTTTACATTAAAGATTTAGTCAATTCTATCTGAATCCAGTTCAGTCAGGGCACAGATTGCAAATGAAGATAAATAGAACATAATTTCATGTGTCCTCCTCTCTCTGTGCTGACTGCCAGGTGTAAAGGGCGGAGCTTATAACAATGATTGACAGGGAGCTAAGATGGAGGCGGCTCTCTCTATACTGACTGCCAGGTGTAAAGGGCGGAGCTTATAACAATGATTGACAGGGAGCTAAGATGGAGGTGGCTCTCTCTATACTGACTGCCAGGTGTAAAGGGCGGAGCTTATAACAATGATTGACAGGGAGCTAAGATGGAGGCGGCTCTCTCTATACTGACTGCCAGGTGTAAAGGGCGGAGCTTATAACAATGATTGACAGGGAGCTAAGATGGAGGCGGCTCTCTCTATACTGACTGCCAGGTGTAAAGGGCGGAGCTTATAACAATGATTGACAGGGAGCTAAGATGGAGGTGGCTCTCTCTATACTGACTGCCAGGTGTAAAGGGCGGAGCTTATAACAATGATTGACAGGGAGCTAAGATGGAGGCGGCTCTCTCTATACTGACTGCCAGGTGTAAAGGGCGGAGCTTATAACAATGATTGACAGGGAGCTAAGATGGAGGCGGCTCTCTCTATACTGACTGCCAGGTGTAATGGGCGGAGCTTATAACAATGATTGACAGGGAGCTAAGATGGAGGCGGCTCTCTCTATACTGACTGCCAGGTGTAAAGGGCGGAGCTTATAACAATGATTGACAGGGAGCTAAGATGGAGGCAGCTCTCGCTATACTGACTGCCAGGTGTAAAGGGCGGAGCTTATAACAATGACTGACAGGAAGCTAAGATGGAGGTGGCTCTCTCTATACTGACTGCCAGGTGTAATGGGCGGAGCTTATAACAATGATTGACAGGGAGCTAACATGGAGGTGGCTCTCTCTATACTGACTGCCAGGTGTAAAGGGTGGAGCTTATAACAATGATTGACAGGGAGCTAAGATGGAGGCAGCTCTCTCTATACTGACTGCCAGGTGTAAAGGGCGGAGCTTATAACAATGATTGACAGGGAGCTAAGATGGAGGTGGCTCTCTCTATACTGACTGCCAGGTGTAAAGGGCGGAGCTTATAACAATGATTGACAGGGAGCTAAGATGGAGGTGGCTCTCTCTATACTGACTGCCAGGTGTAAAGGGCGGAGCTTATAACAATGATTGACAGGGAGCTAAGATGGAGGTGGCTCTCTCTATACTGACTGCCAGGTGTAAAGGGCGGAGCTTATAACAATGATTGACAGGGAGCTAAAATGGAGGTGGCTCTCTCTATACTGACTGCCAGGTGTAAAGGGCAAAGGGCGGAGCTTATAACAATAATTGACAGGGAGCTAAGATGGAGGCGGCTCTCTCTATGCTGACTGCCAGGTGTAAAGGGCGGAGCTTATAACAATGATTGACAGGGAGCTAAAATGGAGGCGGCCCTCTCTATGCTGACTGTCAGGTGTAAAGGGCGGAGCTTATAACAATGATTGACAGGGAGCTAAGATGGAGGCACCCCATTTCAGGATAAGAGCTGTAGATTTCTACATTTCATTTTTCACACCTCGCAAATATATATTTGTTAAATATAGCAATAAGTAAGCAGGGTATTAAAACTCCAGAGACGTGCCAGATCCCCTTTAAATGAAATGCGTAGATGTGCAGCGGTCTGTTTTGTATCGCCTTATGGGTTAAATAAAGGCTGCTTCTTTTATAATATGTATGAAACACGCATTAATTAGTTTTGTTTCTGTTAAAGCCTAAAATGGTAAATTCTACAATATTGCTGGAGCGCACAGATAGTCTTTCAAGGCTATATCTCATACTCAGAATATGTGGATTGAGTCCTACCATACGGCCATACCATGTTTAAGCCACCACTTTGGCCATATGGTGGGACTCAATCCCCATATTCTGAATATGAGACAGGTCTTTTGCAATATGGATATAAACAGTGTTTAATCTAGGAGCTCCTGATTTTCTACTATATTTAAGGCTATTATGGGATGGCTGCCCTGAGAACAATCCCAGTGAGCGTGTGCACTGACTGAGACATGTAAATGAAAATGGACGCATTATTTGGTTAAACCCATTGAAGTGGATCCTGTTTCAGAGCAGAAATAAGCTCCCATCCGGACTGGTATGTGTGAGTGCAATGCCTAAAGATGCGTCAGACCGACCGCCAGGAGGTGGCACCCGTCAGACCGACCGACAGGAGGTGATGCCCATCAGCAGCAGGAGATGTGAAAGGTTGCTTGATATTAAAGGGATATTATAGTGCCAGGAATACAAAGCTCTTTCCAGGGACTATAGCTCCCTCTTCCTCCCCCCACAGCGGTAAATAAAGGATTAAATAATGTTTATTTACTTACCTGATCCCAGCGCTGATGTCCCACCGAGCTGGGGCATGGCTTTGCTTCCTCCTCCGTCCCACAATGAGCAGACGCTAATGTGCATGCTCGGCAAATGCCACGCGCATTAGACCTCCCCATAAAAATCTGACGGTCCAGGTCAGTTTGGATCCTGGAAGCCCTCTAGTGGCTGTCTGAGAGAAAGCCACTGGGGGCAGACTTAGTGCTGCAATGTAAACACTGCAATTTCTCTGGAACTGTTTAACATTGCAGCACTAAGTGCAATAGGGACACAGCACCCAGACCACCTCAATAAGCTGAAGTGTTCTGGGTGCCTACAGAGTCCTTTTAACTTTATGACGAGGAGAGAAGTAATTTCTTGGTCCCTTATCCCAATAAATGTTACTGCAGCAGTTACTGGGGTGAATAATACAGAAACAACACTCCAAGGATCCACTGCAAGGCTTTGCCCAACAAACTATATGAATTAAAATCATCTAAAAAGGAAAAAAGTATAACCATTATCCAAGTTTCTGTGCTAAAATGTAGTAAGTGACAGTAAAACAGACGTTTAAAATGTGTACTATTACTCACCGTTTAATTTTCCAAGTACCAGAAGGGCAAGAATCACAGACAAATCAAGTATTTCAAATTGCACTGGGCGTTTAGAGGGTTAATCTTTGAACTGCCAGTGTCAAAAACATAAAATATAGTGTGGGCTCTGGCAGTAGAGGGGTTAATCATTGACTGTATCAACATGCGTCATCATGCAGGAAAAAACAAAACACTTTCATATAAAAAGGACTTGCAGATCTCTAGAAACTGTAAAAAGGCGATGAATATTTTAGAGTCCCACTTACACAGCAATAGAGAGAGCACAATATACACCACCTCTCCGTGGATCCATGAAACGCACAAACAATACGCGTGGCACACTCCCAGAATGCCCTAGGTGTAGCTGCGGGTCTCAATGAACAGACCAGGACAAACCTCAGGTAAGAACAATGAAAAAAAAAAAAAAAAACATGTTTTGCCCAGCTGAGACATTGGACTTGCCTCCTGGGAGGGAGGGATGGCACTCTAAAGAAACGCCCTTTGCTCCCCAGCCCGTCACACCTCCCCCTCGCTGCTTTGGGATAATCTCTAGGAGTTAAATAATCAGCATGCAGTCAATGTCCAAGACAAGCGTTCTAATTACATTTTATAGAATAATCAAATCACAAGCATTTAGTAACAAATACAGAACACTTTGGGTTATAAAAGAAGGCAAGGTAGCAAGGACTCCAGAAACAGGTTTTGGATTCACCTCTTGGGCGCATGCTGTAAGAGCTCGCGTACCATGTTAGGATGTAAACAGCTAACTCTGAGTTTTCATTCCTGCAATGTTACCTCATCCAGTTATTTTCAGATTAAACGATTGACTCAAAAGTCTGCAGCATTTGTGTCTCTAAAACTTAACAAAAAGAACAATAAACATCCAACCATAACAGGTCAGCAGGGGTTAATCGGACTTCTTGTGCTCCGAGGTGAGAACTTTCCTCCGCTGGTGAATCATGTGAAAATATAGCTGCGGGAAGACTGAAAACAAGAAACAAATCAGCAACAGTACCCGAGCAGCTTGACTGACAGTCAGTAACACCCAGACCATGCCCTCGTAGGAGAACCCAGAACTCAATGTGTAGGTTATATGGGGGAATGGACACACAGTAACACCCAGACCATGCCCTGCAGGAGAACCCAGTGCTCAATGTGTAGGTTATATGGCGGAAGGGACACACAGTAACACCCAGACCATGCCCTGCAGGAGAACCCAGCGCTCAATGTGTAGGTTATATGGGGGAAGGGACACAAAGTAACACCCAGACCATGCCCTGCAGGAGAACCCAGCGCTCAATGTGTAGGTTAAATGGGGAAAGGGACACAGTGACAGTCAGTAACACCCAGACCATGCCCTCGTACGAGAACCCAGCGCTCGATGTGTAGGTTATATGGGGGGAAGAGACAGTGACAGTCAGTAACACCCAGACCATGCCCTGCAGGAGAACCCAGCGCTCGATGTGTAGGTTATATGGGGGAAGAGACCGTGACAGTCAGTAACACCCAGACCATGCCCTCGTACGAGAACCCAGCGCTCGATGTGTAGGTTATATGGGGGAAGAGACAGTGACAGTCAGTAACACCCAGACCATGCCCTCGTCAATGTTTGGGTTCTGTTTCACCATGTGTGCCAGAAGGGGCAGTAATTCAGATGTTGCTTTATACTCACTGGGAATGTATGACACCATGACAAGGATAAGGAATGCGTAGTAATCAAATGAGAAGTTGTACATGTTGGGAAGTCTGATGGAATACAAGCCAGTCTGCTTCACAAAAGGCAACGCAGCGTAGATGGTCAGTAATTCGCCTGTGACACCCATCGGGTAGAGCACAATGAACAGCGTGTACCTGGAGAGACAGGACAGAACCATATTAAAAACACGTCAGCAATCTAATTCTAACACGATAGCATGCTTTATACACTGTACCCCTTTTATTGCAAGTAGTACAGGCCACAGCACAGGGGAGGGGGTGCTTATTTCTTTTCTACTGAGGTGAAAAAACAGTTAAAAATATTAAAATCCAGTTAAAAAAAACAAAAACAAAAAAACAAACTATACTTCCGTCTGCATAGCAATTGCAGCCATTTTGATGAAAATAATGTTCCCAAACGTTCGCAGATGGCAGAGAGTTGCTGAAAATAGAACTTGAAACTAGGTCTTGATGACTTTAATAAAATCTAGTTCCCAATTCACACAACTCAGGGCAAAATCAAAGTGCTATTTTAAATTTACTTTTTGAAAGTGAAAAACAAAAAAACAATAAACAAACACTGTATATGTAAAACTCGAAAAAACAAGAACAACGAGTAATTATGTCTCGAATTTAAACTGCCAAAGCTAGCATCCCAATCCCATTGCTCAGTGTTCCCTTCCTTACCTGGCCCATTTAATAATGTAAGGCAGGTGGTTTAGAAGACTGAAAGTGTAAAATAAATAGCGGATAATCTCTGTGATTGTCCACGCCACAACAAACAGCAGGACAGAGTCTTCATTCTGAACCTGATAAGAGAAATAAAAGCAATGCATTAGATAATCTGTGGTGTTCATACACCCAAGCACATCATTCTCTTACAACATACATTCCCAGTGCCGGGGTAAAACCATTTCATTCTGACAACATACATTCCCAGTGCCGGGGTAGATCCATTTCATTCTAACAGCATAAATACCCAGTGCCGGGGTAGATCCATTTAATTCTCTTACAACATACATTCCCAGTGCCGGGGTAGATCCATTTAATTCTCTTACAACATACATTCCCAGTGCCGGGGTAGATCCACTTCATTCTGACAGCATACATTTCGAGTGCCGGGGTAGATCATGTTGTCAACATACATTCCCAGTGCCGGGGTAGATCCATTTCATTCTGACAACATACATTCCCAGTGCCAGGGTAGATCCATTTCATTCAGACAGCGTACATTCCCAGTGCCGGGGTAGATCCATTTCATTCTAACAGCATAAATACCCAGTGCCGGGGTAGATCCATTTAATTCTCTTACAACATACATTCCCAGTGCCGGGGTAGATCCATTTCATTCTGACAGCATACATTCCCAGTGCCGGGGTAGATCCATTTCATTCTAACAGCATACATTCCCAGTGCCGGGGTAGATCCATTTAATTCTCTTACAACATACATTCCCAGTGCCGGGGTAGATCCACTTCATTCTGACAGCATACATTTCGAGTGCCGGGGTAGATCATGTTGTCAACATACATTCCCAGTGCCGGGGTAGATCCATTTCATTCTCTTACAACATACATTCCCAGTGCCAGGGTAGATCCATTTCGTTCTGACAGCATACATTCCCAGTGCCGGGGTAGATCCATTTCATTCTGACAGCATACATTCCCAGTGCCGGGGTAGATCCATTTCGTTCTGACAGCATACATTCCCAGTGCCGGGGTAGATCCATTTCATTCTCTTACAGCATACATTCCCAGTGCCAGGGTAGATCCATTTCATTCAGACAGCGTACATTCCCAGTGCCGGGGTAGATCCATTTCATTCTGACAGCATAAATACCCAGTGCCAGGGTAGATCCATTTCATTCTGACAGCATACATTCCCAGTGCCGGGGTAGATCCATTTCATTCTGACAGCATACATTCCCAGTGCTGGGGTAGATCCATTTCATTCTGACAGCATACATTCCCAGTGCCGGGGTAGATCCATTTCATTCTCTTACAACATACATTCCCAGTGCCGGGGTAGATCCATTTCATTCTCTTACAACATACATTCCCAGTGCAGGGGTAGATCCATTTCATTCAGACAGCATACATTCCCAGTGCCGGGGTAGATCCATTTCATTCAGACAGCATACATTCCCAGTGCCGGGGTAGATCCATTTCATTCTCACAGCGTACATTCCCAGTGCCGGGGTAGATCCATTTCATTCTCACAGCGTACATTCCCAGTGCCGGGGTAGATCCATTTCATTCTCACAGCGTACATTCCCAGTGAAGAAAGTAGAACATGGAACCACGTCCACTTATGGCTTTTATAGTGTTACAAGCTGTGAACCTACCTCTCTCACACTGTGCGTCACTGCCCATGTCAGGAACACTCGGGACATCACCTGGAACGCAGTGAGAACCACAGACGAAGGTACAATGCCTTGAGATAAGATCAGTTGGGGATTAATATGTCATATGAATAAACCCAAAACTGGTCCATACATGGCCATCTCTCCCAAAGTAAAAACCCCACAATCTACAGCAAAACAGATCTACTAATATATGGGACAATAACTTACCCACTGCACAATGGACTATCTGTAAAAGAGGAAAACCAGTTAAAATAATTTATTTTTTAAATAAATAAAGAGAACGACTAGTTAATTAAACAGAACAAACACCTACCTCAAGTAAAGCACCAGTCTGGAAAAATTTCAGTGGTCGCTCTATAGAGTAATAAAGCTGGTGGTAACTTCCCTTGGCCAGGTAGGTACGGACTAAACCAACCGCTATAACCAGCCACCTGCAGAAAAGACAGGACCATCACACTCCATGCTGAAACTAACCCATTGCAAAGTGTTACTCCCACTGCAGTGGTTATGGTGTCAAAAGTATCCCAATGGACAAATAGTTTTGCAACAATTATCCTGTTATCTGGGTCCCACTTGGGGCCCAAGCTTCCTCCCATGCCAGCGATCTAGCAGCTGAAGAGCTGCGAGAGGTGTAACTTGAATTGTCTAAATCCTTGCACCATGTCCACTTCAAAATACTGAAGTGGTTATCAGTGTTAACAAGAAAATTTTACATCAGTAGTAAACATAAAGTGACGGACATCTCATACACTCCTGGACTTTCTGTTATTTCCAGCATTGCGAAACACCACTATGGCTCAGCTGTAACATGCGTCACATGTATGGTGCATGTACACTGGCTACGAGGAGCTTGTGCTGCCTCCTTGGTAAGATAACAGAACATACCGCTTACTGCAGGGATTCACCAGGCTATGCATTGTGTTAGTAATGGGATATGTGAGTAATGTACAAAGCGCAGCCTTCACTATGAACCTCCTTTTATTCAAATGGAAGAACTGTATTTGGAAAATAATAAATTGTTTAAATAAGGTTTAAATAACATTGATGGAAAATACCAATCCTGTGTCTCTCTATCTGAGGTTTGAATTTAGTTTTTCTTCCCGATTTCTCATGATATCACTTATTTAACATTAATGTGTGAAGAGACTTCCTAGAAATAAATGTAAAGTCTCCCATTCTTGCAATGAGGTGAGAACACGTTTACGCACCCAGCTGTCATGACAACATTGTAGAGGACCAGGTACGCTGTGGCCAAAGCTCCAGGAGCCTTTCTTTTCCGGTGACTTCCACTGTTGGTAGAGCGGGTGCCCCCAGACACTGGACTCGCCATACCTGTTAACAAACAGAATAACCTTACAAACCGGCACCTTCCTGAGCGACACAGTGACAGTGCACACATTACTCAGTACAGGTTACTGTAAGAGATTCTCACGATACTGAGCCCCAAAGCCTATGAACACTGAGAAAAATAAGTTGTTTTTGAGTGGTTGGAGAGAATCCTGTGTAATGTGCACCCTCAAGGCAGGGACCACACAGGCCCAGGGATTTCATGGCTGCATTATGACACTGATATTTCCCACTGGCTCCAACGTGGGCGGGAAGGACAGAGATAACAGGAAGGAACGGTTGGGAACAGAGGTGACATTGAGAAGATAAAGCCTTGTTTCAGCGGGTAAAACGCCCAGACTACGACAGCGATTGCAAATGTCCTCCTATGTAATCTGCAGGAGGGGCAGTGAATGAGCATCAGATATTTACACCATGATCTACCACCACAATGAGGGGAATGTTACCAATAGTGCCACAACCAAGGCAGGGCCACCACAACCAGGGGGGGAATTCTCTCCCAGTTAGGGGGGTGGGGAATCTCTCCCAGTTAGGGGGGAGGGGGAGGATTTTCTCCCAGTTAGGGGGAAGGGGGAGGATTTTCTCCCAGTTAGGGGGAGGGATTTTCTCCCAGTTAGGGGTGGGGGAATTATCTCCCAGTTGAGGGCGGTGGGGAATTATCTCCCAGTTGAGGGGGGGGAGGGGGGAGGATTCTCTCCCAGTTAGGGGGGAGGATTTTCTCCCAGTTAGGGGGGAGGGGTGGGGGAATTTCTCCCAATTAGGGGGGAGGGGGGGATTTTCTCCCAGTTGGAGGGGGAGGGGGGAATCTGTCCCAGTTGGGAGGGGGGGGGGGATTCTCTCCCAGTTAGGGGGGAGTCTCTGTCTGTCTGTCTCTGTCTGTCAGTGGCTGTCTCTCTCTGTGTGTCTGTCTGTCTCTGTCTGTCTGACTGTCTCTCTGTGTCTCTCTCTCTCTCAGTGACTGTCTGTCTCTCTGTCTGTGACTGTTTCTCTCTCTCTCAGTGACTGTCTCTCAGTGACTGTCTCTCTCTCTCTGTCTCTCTCAGTGACTGTCTCTCAGTGACTGTCTCTCTCTCTGTCCTCGGGTGTCTCTCGGTGATGTCTTTCTCTCTCTCTCTCTCGGTGACTGTCTCGGTGACTGTCTCTCTCTCTCTCGGTGACTGTCTTTCTCTCTCTCTCGGTGATGTCTTTCTCTCTCTATCTCTCTCGGTGATGTCTCTCTCAGTGACTGTCTTTCTCTCTCTCTCTCTCGGTGACTGTCCTCTCGGTGACTGTCTCTCTCTCTCTCGGTGATGTCTTTCTCTCTCTCGGTGACTGTCTCTCTGTGACTGTCTCTCTCGGTGACTTCAATCTCTCTCTCTCTCTCGGTGTTCCGTCTTTCTCTCTCTCTCTCTCGGTGACTGTCTCTCTCTCTGTCTCTCGGTGACTGTCTCTCTCGATTTGTTGTCTCTCGGTGACTGTCTCTCTCTGTCTCTCTCTGTGACTGTCTCTCTCTCTCTCTCTCTCTGTGACTGTCTTTCTCTCTCTCTCTCTCAGTGACTGTCTCTCTCTCTCTCTCTCAGTGACTGTCTCTCTCAGTGACTGTCTCTCTCAGTGACTGTCTTTCTCTCTCTCTCTGTGACTGTCTCTCTCTCTCTCTCTCTCTCTCTCTCTCTCAGTGACTGTCTCTCTGTACCTGTCACTCACTCGGTCGGTCGGTCGGTCGGTCGGTCTCTCTCGGATTCTCTGACAGACTCAGCCGATTCTGCTCCCGTTCAGCCAATAGGAAGCCAGGACACAGAGCGCCGCGCTGATTGGGTGAGTCAGGCCGGAGGGCGGGGCTTACTGTAATACGTTCATTGCCAGAGACGCACAGCCGCCTATCAGAGATGTTCCCAGCTGTGTCACGTGTCAGTTCTGACCAATCAGCTCTAGTGTCAGTTATAATAGAGTGCGCGCACCCGAGACACGATACACGGCCTGCTACTGTCTGCCGCTCAGGAGTACTACGTCACGCTGTCTCCATAGTAACGAACGGAAGCCCGGAAGGAGGGAAAGCGAAGCGCCTCCGTTTAAATAATACCGGCCGCTCTAACCGCGAGCCTTCCAGGTCTGACTTTAATAAGTAATCACCCCCCTCCCTGATAAGTAATCACCCCCCCTCCCTGGTAAGTAA